TGTTGGGAATGTAAGTCCCAAAATGCCTGGTCAGCATGTCTAACTTTAAGACCTAAGGTGGCCATTAGCTGTCATGAAAGTATGTTGACCTGTAATCATCCCAAACCAGCAAAGCATCCATAGAGCATTCAGTTGAAGAAGGATGATCTAAGACATTAAAATATAGACTAGTAAATAACACACTTTGACAAAGAGAATAGATTTAAAGACTGAAAAGAAATAATCTGAAAAAAATAATAGGTAGCTGCTATCTAGGACTGTACAAAGAATAAATTCAGGGATTTGATTCAAACGCCATTCAGTTAAATATCCAAATCAAATTGACCTTCTAAATCAGTTTGATTATTCAAGTTGAATCACTGAATCAAAGAGGGTGCATTTGAATCAGTTCAGTGATTATGAACCTTCTGTGCATGCACAGAAGCTATTTTCTGAAGAAGTTCAAATCAGCTCAATTGCATGATTGATTTGAGTTGTCAGACTGAATTGAGTTCTGAACAAAATCATTGATTTGAATTAGATTGAAGCTGTTCCATACATCCCTATTTTCAGTGTTTCCTTTAAAAAATGCTTTCAGTATAATTTTCAATATACATTTCTTGAGATAAAAAATAGAACTGAAGAAAGGTTTAAAACTATAAAATGTTTTGTAACTTGTCTATATAGCAGAAATAATATGCATTCACAATTACTTATTGCTTGTAAAGGATAGTCTGGAATTCAGAGAGGTTAGTCCTCAGCTTCTAAAAATATTGTACAGTTCCTGTCCATGTATGAACTCCTAACATTTCTTCAGACTATTACATAAAGCAAAGTGTTGCCTTCAAACTGAATTCAGCTCCTAGCGATTACACAGAAACATCCATGGGTTTTTTGGGAAATGGTTTGCCATTGCTTTATCCCAGGATGTGTGTTTTTTTTTAATGTCTTAGTTTAGTCTGTAAACCTGGATTTTCCAGATGGCCCTTAGACCAAGCTCCTATCAAAGCTGACTCTGCTTAGTCTTCTACATCAGCCTGGGTCAGTTAGGTGCTGCTACCTAACAAAGCACATTGCACCAGTTTTGGAATAATTTCATCATTTTGTTTTTGGCATGTGCTTCAATTACATAATCATCCTAGATTTAGTTCATGAATTCTAGTTTCTGTTGGCTAAATTTTCAGAGAATGTTTCCTCTACATATAGATGTCAGAGGAAATGTCACATGAACCTATAAGCAAGCTTTTCCCCTTTTTAAACTCATTATGGTCTTTTCCAGACTGAATATAAAGCTGATTACAACAGCTATATGAAAGGATGTGGTTGGGTGCCATATGGATCCCTGGATGCAGAAACAGCGAAAAAAGCTTCGGAATACATAAGTGAGGTAAGTAAAGCTTAAAGAAAATCAGAGTTACCTCGGTTTAGTTATGGGGTCTTGCATATCTATTTATAACTAAATGGAGAAATCAGATACCCTCACAGGAGCTATGCACTGAATCCCCAGTCTATCCAATAACTCTCTCACTTATCACATGTATAAAATCCTTAATACAGATTTTCAGTGAAGTGATGGATAACGATTAGAAGGAAGCAATAGAAAAATTCAATAACTGAGACTGATTTGTTTCTTCATAAACAGAAAAAATACCGTCAGCATCCAGACACTCTTAAATTTACACAAATTGAGGATCATCCTACTGTAGTTCAGGCTAAAATCAATCAAGCCCAGAGGAGCGATGTAAGTATGGGTGATGTATGTGTGTTTGTTAGCATTTTGACTAACTACATTCTAAATTTGCTGCAGGTCATAGAACCATGAAAAGACTAAGGAGTCTTGGTCAAACATTACTTCCACGCTTCTGAATTGAATCCTAACCTGTGATTTGGAATTGTAATGAATTATAATGTTCATTTTCCATTTTGGGTGTCACACTGATTTCCACATTTGATTCTTCTTCAGGTACTTTATAAAGCCAAAAATGAAGAAACAGTTCACAGTTATAACCTCCCAGCAGATGCGCCTCAATTTATCCAGGCAAAGGTTAATTCCTACAACGTTAGTGATGTAAGTTTGCTTTTGACAATTTTTTAAATGCGACATTTAGCTGCATGTATAGATGATGGTCATGATGACTAAATAACTGTATTCTCTTTCAGGTTTATTACAAACTGGGGTTGGAAGACCTGAAATTGAGGGGCTATGACCTGAGAAGCGATGCCATTCCCATTAGAGCTGCTAAAACTGCCAGACAGGCTGCCAGTGATGTGAGTAGGCCCATCAGAAAGAGTTGTTTACTTTAGGGGCAAAGGAAAATTCCCGTATAATAATTAATTTTGTAGGACTTGATACCAGTTCATCAGGCTAAGAAAGAGCCTGTCCTGGCTACATCAACTAAATTCCAGTGGACTGATTTATGAATTAAATCAATCCCAGAAAACAATGGCACTTTTGTAATCTGTTTAAAATGGATTTACTGATTTGTACAGTTTATCAGCCTTTTAAGCAACCCCAATATGTTAAGCAGTGGTTGAATCTCTACCAGTCAGCAATTTAGGAACAAGACGTTGACATTTCTTGAGTTAAGAACATCTTTAACTTTTCAGTTTCATGGCGCTTTGGAGTGCAGAATTTGAACAGCACTCTGCCTTGTCTTTTTCAATTACTTCATTGCATCATCTTTGCTATGGTGGCTTCTGCAGTGCAGAATGACCTTCCGTCTATGACTTGCCAGGCCCCAACACTGATTTATTTTAGGAGACTTTTTAAGCCTTATATTTTTATAAGTCTCTTTCCTAGCTGGTAACTCCTCCAATAGCTTATAATTATTATTTTTCATGAATTGTTTCTATTATTTCTCTTCTCTCCCCTCCATTTTATTCTGTTTTATAATCATAGTAAGCTGCTTCAGGTTTGTTTTTGTTTTTTAAAAAAGTGGCATTTAAATACTTTTGATAAATAATGTGAAATAAAATGTAACAATTTTTGTTTCTTCCTTTGCTTAATTTTTCTCAGATTATAACATTTATATTATCTTTCCTTGAGACTGTACCTCACATCTCAGTTGCAGATTCTGTAACAGTGTTACAGTTTTTAAAATCTGAGAGTTGCCACTATAATCCTATACCAGTGTTTCTCAACCCTGGCAACTTTGAGATATGTGGACTTCAACTCCCAGAATTCCCCTGCCAGTATGGCTGGCTGGGGAATTCTG